ATTACTTTCCAACTTCTCTCTATTTTCTCCAGCAATTAACAGGTTTTGACATTTCTTGTCTTGCCTTCCTCAAATTATCTAATTTTTAATATAAACTATTATACTTAAATAATAATTACATAATTCTGTTCAGATTCAAATGTTAAATGATTCTCTATAAAGATAGAGAAAATAAACAATTGAAAATAGAAATAATTGAAAACATTTACTGCTTTAAGTCAACAAAAATGGAATAAAACAGTGAGGCAAGATTTATTTTAAGAAAAAAAAAAATAATGAATCATTGATAAAAACTATTGAATGAAATAAAATTTATTGACATTGAAAATTTTTTAAATGAATTAGGTTTTTCAATAAATGAAAGAAATATTTCTCCTTTTTCCCTGGTAAATAAAATTATGTGATAAAAAATTTCTTATTCTTAAATATTGTTAAGAAATCTACATTGTTAGTAGATTCCTATAAAACCAATAATCTGTAGAAAAAAAGTTTTTATAATTAGTTTATACAGTAGAGAACCGATTATCTGGAACGATCGGGACCATCGCGATTCCGGATAACTGATTTTTCCGGTTTTCTGAATCGCTACAAAATGCCGTTTTTTTCAATGTTTATGAAACGAAACTAAAAAATTATTTTGAAATAGTTTTAGAAATAATAAAAAATGATAAATAATAACACACTTAAGTTTAAATAAGGAAAGAAATTATGAAATAAAATTATATACAGGCTTATATATGTTATTATTAACATTAATAACATATATAAGCTATTTGTGCTTATGTGAGATTAGTCTACAAAGGGCTTTTGATCCGTCCTCTAAATCAGTTCTTTCGTCAACTCGATACGCCGTACGCTCTAAATAACAAAATGGGCTCAAAATCTTGCAAGAAAAAAATTTTTTTTTTAATGGAAGAAAATTAATTTCTGGTTCCAAATTTCATTCCGGTTATCTGGTTTTCTGATTTCCGGATAAGAGGTTCTGCACTGTATTGAACTCAGTTTTACATAATCAGACAGAAAAAAAAAATAAAATACTGTAAACCCACTGTATAGGTTCACCCTCCATTTTTGATTATTGTAGAGCAAATTTTTGCTATGTCAGGCTATAGAAGAAACCATATATGAACAATAATCGATTTTATTGTAAAATCTTTTAAAAAGTGGTGGATTTCGAATTTTTTGGATGGAGTGAAGATATTTTCTTAGAGGGAAAGGACTCAGCAGATAAAGTAAAATCCATGGCACAATGGAGTACATGGCTCGACACTGAATCAGACGCAGTTAATATAGCTTTATGTGCAGCTTAATCTACACATAAAGCTATAGTAGCTTTATGTATTTTTAAAGTTTTCATTGTTATATTTTTTGAAGAAATTCTTGAATAAATTGTCTTAAATTTTCTTATTCTTAATTTTTTTCTGAATGTAATTTTAAATATTGCTTTTAATAAAAAAAAACCTCTATATGTAAAGAAGATATGATAAAAGAAAACACAAAATTAACGGTATATAACATATTCAGTATAGTTTTCAAAAGGACAAAAAAAAAAAAATCTTAAAAATTTTTTGTTAATTTATTTTTTACATGCATAGCTTAAATTGAAAGGAAAAAAAAAACAATTTAAATTGATCATTCTACATTTTTTAAAAAAACTATACATCAAACGGGTTCAAACACAAACAAAAAGAGAGAAAAATAAACTTTTGCTGTTATTCACATTTTTATAACAGCAGATAAAAATTCCTTAGAGGAATACTAAATTTCAAAAATCATTAGAAATCACCATTAAGAAAAAATATAAACCAAATATTTAAAAAAAAAAAATCTTTTTAAGATCCTTAAAACAGTATTATAAATTACGAATTTTTTAAATATTTCAAGAACATGAACAGAATTATAATTTCAGGGATGAATAACTAAATTAAATAACTGTAGAAAAAAATTGCTACACAGAACTTAATTTGTAACATTTTATTACTATTTGTAACAGGTATTGTCTATTGTAACATTAACTTATTTGTAACAGAAGGTAGCCATGGCAAATTAAAGAACTAAAAAATTGAGACAGATAATATTGTTTAATCTCTAAGCTCCTTAACTATGCTTTAAAAAATGCCATTACAGTATTCTCTCGATATCTCAAAGTTGAAGGGACACTAAAAAGTGTGTTTTTGAGACAAGTTCAGAACTAAATATGTTTTAAAAAGTAGAAAAATATATTCTAAAATATACTCTAAAAAGTTGAGTCATGAAATATAAGAATGACTATTATTAAATATGTATATAATGATAGTTAACTATAAGTCTAAATACAACAATGACAATTTTACTTTTAAGAGTAAGACAAAAATAATTTTGTATTAAATAGAAAAAAAATTGGTTTCCAATAAACTTACATGATTTTTATGGAAAAATTCAATTTCTATTTTGAAAAAAATCCAACATAACAAGGTTTTGAAAAGAAACTCTTCTTCGCCATAGGAATGCAAATTAGCATTAGGTGGATATATAATGCCCAAGGAAAAAAAATTTTTTTTTGGTAACAAGGTTTTCGAGATATTAAAATTCGAGATATCGAGAGTGTACTGTATAATGAAGAAAAATTAGAGATCATTATCATATTTTCATTTAATTTAGTTTGTACAACAAAACAATAGTAGATTGAGCTTAAATTAAATTGAGCAATTAATTTGAGAAGCACAAAGAAAAGCAACTAAATCAATGTCAAAAGATGGGACTAGTAATTAATAAATGACTAAAAAAATTATAAATGTTAACACACTGAGCAAAAAATATGCTTAAAGCATTATACTGAGCAAAACTAAAGTTAGTTGCATAAACGCAAGCAAATTATAATAAGATGAAGTATTTTTAAAATATTTTCTAAATAGTAAGACTAAGTACTTTTAAAAAAATATTTTTGTACATTATTTACAATTATCAAAGCGGTTTGTTCTTCATAGCAATAAAAAAAAGAAAGTTTTTACCAGCATATTTATAAATAATATCCCTAATCCATTGAAAAATGTTGATTTTCTTAACTATTCTCGTAATATTAGACATTTCTATCAACTATAAATGATAGTATTATCACAGATAAGCATGGTAAAAATAATGCTAACAAAATAATAATTATGAAAAACAGTTTTAAAAATGTTAAATGTGTGTTGATGTAGCAAATTTTCAAATTTGCTTACATTTTGGGTATTTAAAACAAATGCAAAGGGTTACAAAGCAAACAATTTCCAATTGATTAAACACATTGCTGAATAATTTTTAATGAAACACGGTAGCAAAAAGTAAATCAAAAAATACGTTGAACATGTATAAAAAAAATCATCACAATTTTTACATTTTGAAGTGTTCTTTTTAAAATTATAAAGCTCTGAAAAAGATATTTTTAATATAGCTCTATAATATTACAATAAATTTTAAAGTTGATTTTTCTCTAACTAATTGAAATGACATTTAATAATCTCTTTCCAGTTGTTATCTTGTGGAAATTCCAGAAACGTGAAAATTAACAATCTGATAATAATACTAAGGAACTGTTTGATATGAAAATTATACAAATGGAAATAGGGTGTTTTATTCTTATATTGCATCAAACTCTCCTATAGTAAAAAGCTGGGGCACAGAATGTAAGTAATAAAGAATATATTATATGTATGCAATTGTTTTATAAATGCATTATATAGTAATGCTGTTTATTATAATATTATTACATAAACAAGATCAAAAATGAAATTTGAAACATTTTTGATATAAAAATAGAAAACATTTCAACTAAACAAAAAACTTGAATAAAGATCATCCCATTTTTTTAAAAATCTAAAATGAGTTTTTCATTTTACAATCAATTGCACCAACAATTGCACAATTAGAGTTTCTAAAATTTTTAAAGAGGTAAATTATTTATAGACATAAAGAATCAACATGTTTATTTACATTTAAATAGTATAAAACAGCCTTGATAAAAATGTATACATAACATTTTTCCCGAATCACTGACAACATTGAATCAATAATTTTTGAGATATGTTTAAAAATACATAGTACGCTAATTGAAATACATTCCTTTATAGAAGAGATAAAAGATGCTTCAAGAAAAAAAGTATTAAAATATGTCTTGTTCCAAATCACAGAAATGCATAATAGAATTCATATTACTACCTAACACATTTTCAAAAATGAAATTTGGAAGAATATATTTTTTCTAATCCACTAATAAAGCATGGTAAGAAAAATTTTATTAAATCCTTGGCAACTACTTAATGTTTATATTAATATGAAAAATTATTCAAATGCTTAAAAAATTTAAGACATGACAGTTATTCAAGCTTATGAGAATTAATCAGTCCATGACAATTTTAATAGACAACAATTTTAAACATAAAAATTGGCAATTAGTGCTATTTTTTCCCTTTTATTTTAATCATTCCATTAATATTGATAATGAGCATGCGAATTTTGTTCAATTAAGTACACAATTTCATATAGTATCGAATTAAAAGCTATTTCTTTTTATTTTAATTTTATATTTTTCTTCAAAAAGTTAAAAGAAATATTAAATATTTTATTATAGATAATTTTAACCAAAATTTATTTTTAAAATTTTATTAGTAAGAAATACCTTTTTGGGAAAATATGATAACAATAACTAACTTAAAAGATTAGGTGGCAGTATAACAGTAACTAAGTAAAAACAAGTTCCACAACAGTCTTTATCACCAAAAACAGAGAGAATTAAAAACACTGATAGATTATTATGAATATGGCACCATAAAGAGATTGATAAAAAGTAAGCAAAAAATGATATATTAACAGTGAATTAATGTAAATCTGAGATTCGCAAGATAGCATTACAAAAAATATTTTTTTTTAGAAAAAATTACATATTACATGGCACAATTATTTTTGGCATGGATCAAGACGCGCTTATGAAAAAAAAATATTTAAAAAAAAATTATAAATATATACGCTGTATTTCAATCTTTAAATATTTTTCTTACGATCTTTTTAACTTGCAAAAATTACAAAAGTAAATTCGAACATTAATTAAATAGAAACCAGAACTTATTAACGTTATAGATGCATTTGACAATGCTTGTAAAGAAACAAAACAAGAACATGTGTAAAAGTTAAACATCATAGTACAAAGTATTTATATTCGTACATTTGTAAGTATTATAATTATATGCGTATTTATAATTATATTCATACATTTATTATCAAAGAATGCAATAAAACAAACAACAAAAAAAACTAAAACCTAACATCAGATAGTATATAGACTCACTTTAAATTAATCACACATGCTTAAATAGTGTGATATGAATAATGAATCGCACAATGAGCTGTGAATAACACATTTACATTGCGTATATGTAACTAAAACACAAAAAACAAAACATTAAGCAGTTCAAATTGCTTTACAGTGCTAATGATGTTTTGAGGTAGCATAAGAGATTAATCAATTTAATATGAATGAAAATGTATGACATGTTAACAATGAGTTTGGTATTTTAACTCAAAAGACCTTCAAGCTAAATGTTTTTGCAATTTTTAAAAATACATTTTTACAAAGAAGCAGCAGGTAAATAGTAGAGGTGCACAATCTTTTTCAGATGAAGGTCACAGAATTAAAAAAAAAATTTTCTTAAAATTTAGATTAGAGGGATACAGAGAATCAGTTTTTATATCAATTGATAATAGTTTACTGAAAAAAAAAACAATATAATTTTTTTGTGAAAATTAAAAGACTAAGTGCAGCAAATTATACCTAATATTTACAAAATAAATAAATAAATAAATGAAATAAAAACATTTTTAATTCAAAAAGCTATAAGGTTTTGCACATTTTCTTTTTTGAAACTTTGAACCAGTGCTTCAAGCAGTTTGGAATTTCAATGTTAAAAATTCAATGACTTTAATAAAACATCTTGAAATTAGATTAAAAAACAGTTATAAAAATGTAAGTTTTCTAATTAATTTTCGGCCGAGGGTGTGCACCTCTAAAATAAGATAATCGAAGTATACTGAAGTGATTTAGTATTGAAGTTATCAAACTACTTATATCCGTCTACTTTAAAATCAGTATTTATTTTTGAAAACCCAGCAATTATCAGTCTGCAATTTATCAGTCAAGTACTGACAAAAAGTGCTATTAAAATTGTTAACCAATGCATATAACATAATAGTAAAGAAAAGTGAGATTATTTAAGTATATAGAAAATACATTAATAGTCTTAAAATGAAATAGATGAGATTCTTAATGAAAAGGACTCATTATGAACATAAATCATCAACTATCAAAAAAATTTGCAAAATTTGAATCAGCCTGAGATTTGCCAGCAGATCCAACCTCCGTAAGACTTTTTTCCAAAGTACTCATTTTGGCTAAATCTCTAGTCATCTGGGCTATGAAACTATCATTGCTAGATGGATCGGATGTCCTCGAGTTTCGGTTGAAGGACTCGTGTCTCGAAATAGCACCACTGCTGAAACTGTCGTTTTGATCGGACATGGAAAAAGATTTGTGATTGAACTTGTCTGAAAAGAGACTCGGGCTGCAGCTATTGGAGTTGAACAGGGACGAAGCCGCCACGGGATCGAAATCAAATATGTGATGTTTGGGAGATTTTGATCCACTTTGATGCGTGGAAGACTGAGAAAACGATGGTGACCGGACAATATCGACTTGAGTTACGATGTCGTTGGGGGATTCGGTGGATAGAGGGCTTTTCTTGGCAACTTTAGGGCTGCTGCACACAAAACTGTTAGGTTTGAAAAGGGAGTCCATATTCGAAGGAAATGTGAGTTGAGATGGACTTCCTGGTAGAGAGCTGCCAAATTGGTTGAACGATACACCAAACTTTAGACTGTTAGAAGAACTGTGTCTAGAGGAGGTAGGAACAGAAAGCTGTCTGTTAACAGCTGAAGGAAAGTTTTTTTGGAATAAGGAGTCAGATGAGTTTTGATCATCAAGAATAGATCCTCCAACGGAAGTAGCCGGATTCTTCTCATTCCCTGGGAAAGACTTGGTATTTTGACGATAGAGATCCATATCGGAGGAAGGAAACTAAAAAATAATACTTCAATAAATAAAAATTCCCTACTGGAAAAAAAATTTCAAGTTTATATTAAATTGCCATGAATTTTTATATTTGTGAACTTAGAAACTTCAAGAAAATATGTCATAATTTTAAGTGTTTTGATAAAATTCAGAAACTGCAATCTGTAACAATAATAATAATGCCATTTTATTACTTTCACTACTAATAAAACAACATTTAAAATTTTATTTATCTAATATTTCTTATCTAAACCAGCCAATGCTTGAAAAAAAAAAGGTATAGCTGCCATGCTATAATGAGACTGCCATATATATAAATTTTGGGGTTTCTTCTAGATCAATTAAAATGAGTATTGTGACACAATTACAAGTGTTTTGATTAGATTCAGAAGCTGCAATCTGTAACGATAATAATAATGCCATTTTATTAGTTTTACCACTAATAAAATGACATTTTAAATTTTATTTATAAAATATTTCTTATTCTAAATCAGCTAATGCTTGATATCTGCCTAAGAAAAAAAAAGCACAGCTGCCATGTTATAATGAGACGGCCATATATAAAAATTATGTAGTTGCTTCGAGATAAACTAACGCAAGTATTGTCACACATTTTTACAAAGGAGGAAAAAGTTACCTAATATGTCAGTATATATATATAACTTTAATTTGAGGAGTTGTTTATTTTTTGCACTGTCTAATATTAATTTTACAAAATTTAAAATATTAATCATAATACTAACCTTAGATTTTAATTTTTTCTCAAATCACAAAAAAACAACATTTTTATGAAAAATTATTAAAAATTCTATTAATTAAATACTTTTTAATGGTTAATATAAATTTAACAGATTACATTTTTTGAACTATATATTTCTTTTTTACTAAATACAAACTGAACATAATACTAAATACGAACTTATACAACAAAATACTATTTTTTTACTTATATTGCATAACTACTTATATTATATAACTTTTTATACTAATATTACATAACTAATTTTCTTTGATGCATGTCTTTGATCAATCCTAATTAAGAGCCTTGATAGTTAAAACCAGGGTGGCCATTCAAATCAGATTTCAAATTTCCCTGATTTTTCCAGGTTTTCCAGATAAAAATCTTAAAATTTCCAGGTTTTTGTTTCTTTTTTCTTATAGAGTATAGGATGTGTACAAGAAAAGTGTCTACATTGTAAAATATTTTATTCAAAATGTTATTTTTTTAACATATCATCTTGAAAAAAATAATTTATTGACAATTTGGCAAGATTTTTTATTTATTTTTTAATGTTTTGGTACAAAATTTTGAATCGAAAATCTTATATTGACCAACAAAAGAGTAAAATTAAATATTAATATATAGTTGGTTCCTAAAAAAAAACCTTTTTTTAAAAATTAAAATATGTTATAAAAGGTTAAAATGAAATAGAAAAAATTAGCATTAATGTAACAATTTGTCAACAAACATTGCTGTTAGCGATTGTAAAAAAATTTGTGATTGGTTGGTTTGCTGAGAAAAAATAATTCACAGATTTCCCTGAATGGGAATATAAAAGCTTTCAGAAAAAGAGTGCGACATAAAATCTCTTATTATAACCAATTCTCTAATAACTCTATTATAAACAACGAATTTTTTGAGAATTTTTTAAAGTTAAAAAGGTACAAAAACATTTTGTCAAAATAGAAAAAAAAAATTACCACCAAAACATCGAACAAACTTGAGCCATAAATGGATTCAGCCCAAGGACAGAATTTTAAAACTGAANATTGTTATATGTGTTAAAAAGTAAAATCCTTCTCGCAGGGGGAGATTGTTGTCATTCCCTGGGAAGGATAGCTACGAAGTATTTTTCTTTTTATACCGCCAGATGGCGTTCTTTTTAAATTTGTATGTGTTTGTTTGCTTTTTGTTAATAAACTTTTACTTTCTGTCTGAATCTCGATCCACGGACTACAACATTTTTTAAAATGAATTTTTGAACTATATATTTCTTTTCTACTAAATACAAACTAAACATAATAATAAATACAAACTTATACAACAAAATACTATTTTTTTAAACTTATATTGTACTTATATTACATAACTTTTTATACTCATATTACATAACTGCTTTCTTTGATGCATGTCTTTGATCAATCCTAACTAAAAGCCTTGATTGTTAAAACATAGTTCTTTTCATTTTTTGAAATATTTTGTCTATCAAAAAATACAGTAATTATAATGTATCATAGATGAATAAAGAGGTAGGGAATTCAGATTTGAAATTGGTATCCGCTTTCATTAAATCTAGAAATTCTGAAGTTCTGGGTAATAAGGAAGTAATAGCAGATAGCAGAATCACTGATCACAAAAATAAGGACCCTCTTGCCTGGACCTGGGTAAGAAGGACCCTCTAGCAGAATCACTGATCACAAAATAGATAAATATATTTTCAAAAAATTTATGCATTCTGATTACAGTGATCAAATTAATACTGGTTATAAAGAAATGTTAAGTAAATTACAAAATAAATAATTGTTTTCTAAAAAGAATTGACTTTGGATTATTTCAATTTTTATAATTCAAATAAAAAGTTCAGAATATGTTTGATTTCAATTGATGAAAAAAAATTAAACTGTTTATTATTTAACCCACTGACAGTTAAGCAAATGAGCAAAATTAGGTGAATGTTTCTTCCCAATATTTCCTTATCTAATAACATAGAAAAACCGGTTTTGCCACGCTGAGAAGACAGGTTAAACTACTTTTTTTAATACGGGCAGAGCTGTCAGTGGGTTAAAGAAAGCAAAGGTTCACGTTGAGGTATGATTCAGCCTTAAAAAGTTTCACTTGATTTTTGATTTTACTGTTATGTGTGAGTTTCAAGAAAATAATTTATTTTTAGAAAAATGTTTTGAATCTGTTAATAAGAGTATTTAAGGTAAAGCAATTTTAAAATAATTTCAATAATAAAAATAAAAGCTCACATTGAGGAATGGTTCAGGCATGGAAAATTCACTTGATCTTCCAGTTTTGTGGAATTTTTCTTCAACATCATGGATGTGGTTCACTAATTTTTTGATATGTTCAAGAAGTTCTCTATTATGGGCAAGTAAATGATGGTTTTGAGCCTAAATAAAATGTGCAACATAATTACACATACATAATTCCTTTTTTATTGAAAAATCTAATGCAATTCTAAAATTCAAACAAATTCTTAATATCGAAGAAATTAAACAATAAAAAAAGATTAGTCATTGTTTTTGTTGAATTTAAGCTAATATTACCTGGGCTTCAAGTCTAGCAGTTGTTTCAGCAGATAACTGATCTTTCATTAGTTGCACTTGTCCCATCACTGATTGCATTTGCTGACTTTGCTGTTCTAATTGCTCTTTTAGTAATTGAATATGGTGATATACACTTAGAGACTCTGATAGTTGAGAATTGTTATTAGAAATTCCAGTTTTACCCTACAAAAAATATACAAATATATTATTTAACATATTAATGAAAACATAGATCAACATTCTTACACCTTATTTTATCAGAAGTACACTCTCTATTTCCTTGACTCATGACAGATGAAGAAGAAGTCGATAATTTCAAATGTTTTGCAATAATAAGGTTGCTTTAATTGCTAAAAAAAATAATACAGGGTGCCTGAGAAATCTAGAAATGATAAATTATTTAAAGAAATATGCACAAAATAAAACATGGTGTGAAATTAATAAAGGTCCATAAAAATTAAACTGTAAAAAATTTATCAGAGGAAACTGTCCTGGATATTGATATACATGGACAGTATGCTGTTTTTAATTCTGTGTTATTGTCACAAAATAAAACATTTTAACATAAATGTGAAGATTACACATTCGTTAATTTAAATTTAATTTTTGTTAAATTACTAATTTAATTAAATTTTTCACTAAATGAAACAAAAAATGAACGAACCAGTGGAAATATGTACTCGAAATGTCTTTTAGCTATTGATTTGTAGACACAAAGGATAAAACTTTCCTAATTTCTACTAAAGTAAAATAGTTCAAAAGATGCATTCAATGAAACCAAACCGAATTCCTATTGGAACATCTGAAGATAGTCTCCCAGGAAATGGGGTTGAGTTTGGTGTTATTAGTTATTTTTAAAATATCAAATACGACTATTTTCATTTTTTTCTATTTTTTTTCATAAGCCATTAAGGTTTTATACAATTTGTACCCCACTTCTATTTTTTAATTACAGTGCCATCTGTAAGTCAAAATGTGAAATTTGTAGGTTAAATCAGGGTCCTTGCTTCTGGTGATGGTTTACACTCAAGATTTTGAATGGATGACTATTTCTTGAAATATTTTATCGTTTTCATACTTTTCTAACATAAAGCAAGGCTCAAAGTGAACAATTTGTCTGATGTAAAGGAATGGTATGCTACTTTCGATTTTTTTAATTTTAAGTTTCGTGTTTTTGCATATTGTAACCTTCGATTTAAATTCACTTTATTAAATTTTTTCAAAAACAGTCAAATGGATGCATAACAATATAAAGTCTAATGGATACATACAAACACTAAATTGTCTTACTTACTCTATTAAAATATTATAAATGCATAAACATATTCATTCCAGTATCATGCAAATAGAATTCTTTCATTATCAAATCAACACTATTATTCTATTATAGTTTTACTAGTAATTTAGTACAGTAGAGCGCCGATTATCCGAATTGCTCGGGACTGAATGTGGTTCGGATAATGAAAATTTCGGATAATTGGAAAGTTGTTAAAAATCTAGTTTAAATTATTATTATTTATGCACTAACTATCCTTCTCACTTTTTCCAGGTTTAGAACTGACAGTACTATCTAAAAAAGCTCTGGCGGGTTTAAAAGTATTTTTTTTTAAATTTTTAAACATTTATTTATTTATTTACTCTTTTTTTTATTTTGTATTTCTTTAATTATATTTCAGCTTTTTATAATTTTTTTTGTCAATTACTGATCTTACCACATTTTTCTTTACTTTCCATTGCAAAAGAAATGCAGCAAAGACTTTTGTTTAAAAGAAGATTCTCTTTTTTTAGCAGCCATATCCCTTATTCTTTTTAAATAAATCAACTGAACTGGATCAACATCATTTCAACGTTCTATACTGTCAAAATGAAGTTCGCATTCTTGGAAGATAATTTTCTGTTGAAGAGGGCTAAATGGGTAGGGTAGGTTTAACTGTATAACAATACATGTATATATGGCTACTATAAGAAAACTGCTAAAAAAGGTTGCAAATTAAATATGGTCATCAAATGTAGTGGACATTATTTATTCTTCCAAATTTAGAAAAATTGCCGATAAGTTGAAAAGTATTCTAAACTTAAGGGGAAAAAAAAAGCGAATTCGGACATAGTTCGGATAATTGGACGTTCGGATAATAAGGGCTCGGATAATCGGCGCTCTACTGTAACAAAGCAAAGCTCAGATAAGATTCCCACTTTTTTTTTAAAGCTAATAGAAAAATAGTTAGTTTGGATAAGTTAAAATTGGCAATTGATACATAAATAATATTTATCTAACTGCAGTTAAATATTTTTGTGCAGTAAAGAAGATAAGAGAGAACTTACATCAATTTCATTTTTCGGGCTTAGAGTACTTCCATTTGTTCGAAAAGCTCCTTGATGTGAAATAGAGTCAGAGATTTTAGATGCACCCAATTCTTCTTGTGTATCACAGCTATTAGGTTCTGATGCCCCATCACCTTGGCTTTTACCTTTAATGAAAAATAAAACACTTTTTCTAATTATTTTTAACACAAAAAATAAGCTAAAGCATTTTGAAAAAAAAAGTTAAATAACTATGTGATATCACATATATTTATTCCTCCTTTTCCCTTCTTCACTCAGATGCTTCCCAAAAACACAATTGGTCACAAAAATGGTAACCAGTTTACAACACAAAAAAACATTTATTAAAAATGGTAAAAGATGAAGTTAGAAGAAAATTAATATAACCAAGCCAACTAAACAATTCACTTCTGCTCTCAATCAGAGCATTCCCTCCTCTGTTTTTTTTACAACATCTACCTTGATGACAGCGCCATCACAACATGGAGGCATGACAAACATCATAAAATGCTGTAGTGTAAAACATTCAATAAATATACCATTAAGCTATACAATATAAAATATTCAATACAAACATAAAAAAAAATATAATATGGGACATTCAATAAAAAAATGATGAACAACCATTTTATACTAACATAGAAAAACAATGTAATATTAAACAAAAGTATAGCAATATGAAATGGAGGCATGACATATATGGAGCAGGGTTGGCAAGTTTTTGACACATGACGGTTTTTACCGTCATGTCAAAAACCCCTCAGTCAAAATCTGTCAAAAACCCATAGTTTTGGTAAAACTGTATTTTTATTTGAGTTTAACTGCTTATAATTTAAAATTAATTCATTTTCGGGCAATAAAATTAGAAAAAAAGGTGTTAAAGGATATTTAAGAACAGATTCTTGCATTTTCCCAACATGATTATATCAAAACATACTATTTGAAGTAAAATATTAGGATACTAAACAAAATTTTCAACATTTCCAAGCATCATTTTGTTTGGCATATTACATTACTGAAGAATGTCAAGTCATTCTTGACTTAGAGTTTGTTAGTAGTTACAAGTTTTGAAAGTTTTGTTTAGCTTATTTCTAATATTTAAGAAATGCCAAATTTTAAA